TCGCCCTTGGTAAATTCTCCAATTTAACACGACTTTACGCGATGGTGTACAGTGTTCCTTAGTCTTTAAAAATTCTATGGTAAAAGACGATTTAAAAATATTATTCACGTTTATACGCGACTGGTACTTTACCCTAGGTCATAATCGCGTGAAAAGCAGGAACGGGTATTGGCGTACGCGCGGGGTTTCACCGTGAAATTCTCGATTTAAGAGGCGATAACCTATGGTAATGCGTAATGTAAACGCACCACCACGGGTGCGTAACAGGTAGCAGATCGCGTACCGTTAGCAACATTCCTCGAGCGTTTTCGACGCGAAAGACGCCACAGGGTGTGCCCACACGCGGAAATCGCTGAAACCGCGGAGGATAAAACGACTATCAACCGTATGCTTCCAACATCCTCCGCGGTGGGAATAATTCGAAACGATTAGAATAGTTTCCTCGATGCGTTGATGACGCGACGGAACAACTTGAACGGGTGCAATGCGACGAAGTGCATGCGTGCATTCCACGATATCCGGCGTGAGCGACACAGACGGAGAGAGAACGCGAAGGGAGGAGGGAGAAAGAAGGACGATCGAAGCGGAGAGTCTGTAATCTGTATCCGTGAGACGATGGTGTACCGTGCCACGCCATTTTTAGTCGTCTCGCACTCTTTTCCTCCTCCCTTTCCTTCCGTCTCTTTGACCCCTTTCTCTGGCCACGGTAAACGAACATGACGTAATAAGACATTAACATTTCAGTGGTATCCCTCGTTCGTTAACCCCCCCTCGATATTTTGATCATAGGGGCCACTCGTTTACTTTTATTTCGCAGACCTGTAAGGAAGTATTAAATTCGAGACAAAATTTTAAAATACATAGCGTTGGTGTACACGTGCAATAAAATGCTTCGCTTTGTGTATACTATACAATATGTGATAAGGTAAGTTCGACCATGGTCTTCAAGGTCGTATAAGATAAGGAACGAATATTTCGTGCCAGCATATTAGACTAGTTTTTACTTTTGTTATTAACGATACAAAATTAAATCAGTATTGGCAGAGACCATCAAAAACGTATTCCTGAACAGAGAAGTTACATTGAACGTGCTATAAAAAAAAAGTTAAGATAGCATTAAAGCGACGCGTCGGGAAGTATTGACGAGCGCAATTCTTATAACTTTGCACCAAACGCGTATTTATGGCTTTCGCTCGATTCTGATTTAGTGATACACGCAGGTCTGCTGCAATGAAGTCGTATTATTATTACTCCTTTTTCCCCCCCCGAGTGATATTTTACACAAGAAGCGATACGTTCAGCGGAAATAATTGTGTCATGCCTGACACACACTATTGGATTTTCCCTTTCAAATGATACGAGTGGCGCGTAGATAAAAATATCGAATGAATAAAAGATAAATAACCGTTTACTGGTTACTCGTGAAATGAATATTAGAATTTCCACAAAACAAACGTTATCGATAAATTGTTGTGTAATAAAATGCCCAACTTTGATCCGCGAATCTTGCGCGTACTTCCGGTCAAGCGGATCCGCGCTACTCTCGGGCGTATTCATTATTAATTGGACTTAAGAAAGACGTCGCGCATGCGTTTTTCGGTACAGCGAGAACTAGCAGCGTAGGTGTCATTTGTAACAGCGGTTTAAAAGAGTTTCTCAAACAACAAAACATGTACAGTGAAAACTCGATAAATGTCGCTACTCCGGGTCCGGTCAGCAACACTTACGGAATAGGAGAATCGTCTTTCGAATTTGATTGTAGTTTGCCGACGCTTCGAACGTAGAAAGAGTCAGTAGCTAAAGAAGAAAGAGGGACTGAAACTCGGATTTATCGCCCCAGTTTAAATATCCGCGTCAGTGTGACCACACTACTGCACAGAAGAAAGTTTTTTATTTTTTACTTTTTGTTAATAAAAATTTCACTATCATGTTGGGGAGATTTCTCTGATTAAAATGAGGCTAAACACGATATAAATCGGTCAATATTTGGTAGCATAATATTGAATTAAATATTGTACTTGCGAGTCTTTCTCTCTTTATTTATCCTTCTTGTGCTGCCCTTTTCTATGTTCGGAAATATCAAAGAACGACGCATCGAGGTGCTGGCTACATTTATCGAACGGGAGGTAGCTATTTTCAAACGGAACAGTTCCACCGTTTCGTAAGTGATCAAAAACTGCAACACTTATGAAATAGGGGGTTTCGTTAGCTACCACTGTTCGATAAATGTACCAATCCACTGACCTTGCGAAGATACGAGTACACAATATTTAATTCAATATTATGGTAACAAATATTGGCCGATTTATATCGTGTTTAGTCTCATTTTAATTAGAAAAATCTTCCCCACATGATAGTAAAATTTTTATTAAAAAAAAGTAAAAAATAAAAAACTTTCTTCTTGTACAGTAGTGTGGTCACACTGACAGGGACATTTAAACTAAGTTGACGAAGGCAATAAAGATTTTTAAAGAAAGCCGCTACGTCTCCGGTTACACTTCGCCTCACTGGTTCAAGGGGGATCCCCCTAGTGGTGGGGATAAAAATGTATCATTTATGGAACAGCTCTTGAGGACATTTATCGAGTTTTCACTGTAGATGCAAAATGCGAATAAATAATTATATTACAGATCGTCCCAGTTTCTAGAATTACCCTATAGAACAGGTTTAGCCGAGCAGCGGATAAATGAATCATATTTTATTTATCTGAAAGTGATTTAACTATCTGTAATACGCTATAATTACATAACGTGAATGACTTACTTTATCGACACGCTTCTTGATAATTGTCACTTTAAGTAATAATACGAAATACGAAAGTTCTTTTCTCATTCCTATTTCTTCCATTAAATGTACAAGTCAGTAATTTTCGATGTTATCAAACAATCGACGAGCAGAATGCGATCAATTTTGTATTACGACATACTTGAGCATCTGTTTGTAATCTTATCTATTTGCCTTTTTTTGCCTAGTCACGTTTAAAATAATAATTACAATATTCCTAATATCAATAGATTTAAAATATATAGTTTGCTAAAACTAAAACACAATGTACTTACCATAACGTTAATAATGATACTAATGGAATAAATAAAATATGTTAATGGCTGGAATGGTATAAAAATGAAATGAAATTAGTCTTACGAACAAGATACGAAATATATAAGGTACATTTTTGTGTGAATTTTAACGAACAATTCTCACTCGGAATAAAAATCTAGGTGTATGTAGTCTTCGAGAGTGGAAACAGCTTTGCATTTTGTTAAACACTAGTCTAATTCGATACATGAAAGGCCAGAACCTCTGACTTTCTAGCAGACACCACCAGAGGGCTATTGACATAAACCGCATTCCTTCGAAATTAACTACACAGTATGCCAACATACAGGAATCATTCCTGACATTAAACATTTCAAGTTTTATGAATAAACTATACTGAAACATTTCATTGGCAAACTTAAGTCAACAAAATGGATCCCACGTTCTAAACAACGCTAGTGAATTTTACGTTGGATCAAGTTTTTCAAATTGATCGTCTGTGAGTCAAACATAAAACAGAACTGAAATGCTTACATTCCATTCATCGAGTTCTATACAAACTCGGATTTTCGTTTTAAGTTTCCTTCTATGAACGAAGTACTATTTCAGCTGCATTCGCTTTAGCGTCTAGCACTTAAAATAGAAATTCGAATACCTCCATGTCGAATAGTATCCGGGTCTGGATGGGCAAATTTCAAATAAATAAAAGCTGTACATTTACGAGAACGCGAAACGGAATGTAAATTATTCGAACGATAATGAACCGGACTTGCAAATAACGAGAACTATTCATTATTCAAGAGGTATATTTTACTGGTTCGGAAAAATAGTTCGGGCGTGTATTTCGTTTCCTCGTTTTTACACGGCAAATTCGTGCTAAATACTGGACTGAAAAATTACGCTATTAAAAATGAAAAAGTAACGAGTTCCTTGCACAACAGTTTTTACTTTATGTAGGGCATAAGCATAAAATCACCGAGGTGTAAAAATACCCTAGGGTGTCGGTTAAGAGTCGAAATAAAAATATATTACCATCTGCTTCGATCTCTGCAATATTCCCCCGAATGGGCAAAACCTCGATTCCTAAGAAGCTATTAAACGCTTGAACAGTTATTTTACGGGGCACTAGGAAGCTGCCCAAAAGATGGAAACAGGTTATAAGCCGACGATTGATTTCCCCTCGTAAAAGAATGCATTCTACGCAGCAACGTTTTTGGCCAATTTGATAGTTTCACAGCGATACCATGTTCACGAATATTTCTAGCAGGTATTACGAATACGTCAATGTATTCGAAGAGGTACCGCCGCTACGAGAGGAGCGAAACCTCCGGTGACCTGAATCGAAAGGAACGCTTCGCGTATCCTGAAGCACGGGCAACGACTCGGGTCAATCGTCGTAAATCTTAAGACGCGTTCAGCGAGGAAACGCTCGGACGTTGGAAAGTTCGCCTATTTGCCTAACGCTCGTGTTTCAAGGTCGCATCAGGTTCCTACAAGAAGTAAATATGGCGGAAACGGTCTCACGAGAGAACGCAGGATGTATCTTAAAACGTAACGGGTGTCCGAACGGTTACGTACTCGCGAGGCTTTTTATCGTTCGCGTTTATCGCGTTGCACGCTGGCGCGCTGTATCGTGCAGGGTAGGTCGCGAATGTTTATAAACGAATCACGTATCGGCCGATAGTTAAATGCCTATTCGCCGCACGCGCGACGTTAACCAAATTCTGGCACACTTTGCCGCCGGTTGGCGAAAAGAGACGGCGAACGAAGGAAGTCGGACGGGGGACGATGCAACGTCCGATGACGATTTCCGCATGACGAGTACCGTAAGGCTAAAGTCTAAGAATGGGTCGAGGAGCGAACGAGTGGGAGTGGGATGATACACATAAAAGATACGTCAGGAGCCATTTTTATAGAAGAGTCCACTAAAACTGTACCGTTTGAATAAAATACGCACGTACCCGCTCTGCCCGCTAGACAAACGAATCCAGCCAGCGGCTGACTTGGCCTCTCGTCCGATGGACTGTCATTTGTGATAAAGGTTCATACGCGTGCCCGGACGCCGCGATGATTGATGCACGGCACCTGAGACCCGTTGCTCGGCCGATTTCTCGCACGTTTGGTCCTCTTCCGTTCCTCGAACGTGGACGCACGCCGACGAGTACAGGCCTCAAACAAAATCTACGACGACGACGACGACGACGACGGCGACGTTAAGTCGTCGTTGATTGCCACTCGCGCACGCACTCACGGCAATAGGATGTATGTTTACACGGCACCGCACTGTCTCCTTCTCGCACTATCGTTCGTCGACACGATACTCCTCTCACGGCGAGCCACACGGCTCGTACACCCTGCGTTGCCGAATTACCTCTTCCTTCTCGTGGCTGTCTTCTCGCTTTTCGGGCACCCCGCCCACCCGCAACCCCTCTGACCCTTCGATCCAGGCCGTACGAAGAGGAAAAGGAAGATTTCCCTGCTCCTTCCTCGACGAAGTGCCCCGACACACTTCTAGCCTCGTCTCTCTCCTGCCGTTTGTCGTTCCTCTCTCTCTCTCACCGACTCCCTCTCGCTCGCCCCATCGTTCTCGCTGTCTCTGTCTCGTACCGTGGATAGTCGCCTCTCTTCCTCGTTCCACGGACCCGGGCGACCGTTCCGATCTCTCGCGCACGCCACGCACGCTCGACCGATCACTCGCGACCGGTGCTCGCACACTCGCGGAATTTAATTTTCTTCCAGCGATTAGATAAAACCCGACGGACACCGCGAGCGTCGACGACAGACGCGCTCGCGACACCGTGACACGGAAAAGCTGAGAAAACGCACTCGCACGGACTCGAGCTGCGAACGATGCGTCGCGTCTGCACCGTCACGGTGCCGCCATCTGGGGGAGCGTGCACCGCATCACGGCTGGCGCACGAGGCGGCGCGAAAATTCAAATCACGCGGACCCGTATAGCAACTGCAACTGGTCCGCTTCGACTGTGCAAAGTCACCGAAGCAAATTCTAACGATGAAAGATTCCAAGGGGTCGAAATCCGCCGAGATTCTTACGAGAGAGTCGTAGTTATCCCTGGTTTCCTAACGTTCGAGATAATGAATTGTGAAACTGATGTATAAATAACCGGTTGGTCTCGTGGCGCGGCACCAACTATTTCGTTTTCACTGTTTGCTAAAACAGGGACCACTGGATGCGACGGAAGAGACCGTAGAACTATCGACCGAGCTGTTGGAACCATCGACGTGGCGCGGAGGCGTACGTCGTCGTGGCGAACGCGGAGGGAACCGTTCGAAAATGTCTCGGCAGATGTCCGTAGCGTACAGGATCGCGAAACTCTCGATCGTTACTACGTTATTAATTATACTAATTGCGTGAGCGTGAACGTGAACATCAAATTAAAAGAGAAAGAAAGAAATTGCTGTTCAGATATGGATTGGAGCAAACGTGCACGCGTTGTTGATGCTTAACCGGAATAGAGAGAATCGCTGAAACTGTTCTTATATACGCTAAAAGTATTCTTATTCACTGACGAATATGCGACTCTATATGTTCACCGAAATTGGGCTAGACAAATTCCGCGAATGCCACGCAATCGGTTTGAATACTCCTACAAATTATACTACTTCCACTGTTGACAGTTCGTAGTCGCGGCAATTGAACGAACATGAATGAAATTTAGCGGCTTTATTTGCTTTGTCAATGATATTCTATTGCGCGCTTGTTTGGTTGATTATATATCTACAAATATGTTACGATAATAGAGGATATTAAAATTCGTTGATTTTAAGACTACACAAGTCTAAAAATAGAATAAGTTTTTGCGTTTATCGGTCGAATGGGTTATTTTAGCGATTCAAGAGGGATGATTATTATAAAGTTGCAAAAAAATTGTTAGAATATAATAGGTTTGGAACGTTCTTGGCAGTGAATGGATTGAGCGAAGTATGGCATTGCACAAGTCTCGCATACATTGAACCAGCAGACAGGAGTTCGCGACAAATACGATCGTAACGTGACGATCCATCGTAAATTATCAATTCGACCACCCAATTCTAGTCGCTGGCTCCCTTTCGCGAAACATTCCCATCTCCGTCCCATTTCCTTCGGCGAACCCGTCGTTTCCACGGTGAAAATAACTCGCGTGTTAGTCATCGTTCCCATAAAGCACGCAGAAAGCTCATCGTGCCGCGACGCAGACGCATAAATTTCTCGGGGGGCCAAGAGATACACCGTCGACCACTTCCTAGGCCACGTGGTTCCGTGCAAAAATGCGAAACTCGAGCGAACGGGAACGCTAGCACGCGAGACGCGTGCCATTTTCGCCATTTCCCATATAAAACGAGCCCTTGAGTTACGCTGATTCATAGATACGCGGTTATGGCCTTACATCCCTTCTCGTACACAGGATCGTGACAAAACAGATATAAAATATCGCGATGATGAAGAAATTAAGAAGAATAATATTAACTCGTCACCGTCCTCATAGCAGTTCATCATCTTTCATGTTTATTTTAATACACGCTGGCCAGACGTTGACACCACCGAGGTGCTGGCTTGAGGTGACACAGTCTCCAACAAATTACCCAATTTTAATAATAAAATGGGGAAGGTCCGAATGGCGTACAACTTGGGCATGTACCAACGCAAGAGAACTCTACTTGTTCGTTCGGTGTCTGCTAATAATTGGAACACAATCTTTCTTTTACTCCGAATTATTTCGAGGTTTTTGTCTCGAAGATAAACACATGATCGACGAAGACACGGAAAGGGAGGAAGAAGCGGTGGAATGTGTTCGAACGCACACGAAAACGCGACACGTGTTTTGCTTTTTTTCTCGCTCGCGACCCCTTTTCGCAAGACGAATTTATTAGCGGCCCCGAATTCAGCGTCCATAGTCGAAAACGTTGGAAACTAATATTACACATCGTTCCAGGACAGGCAAATCAATCTGCACCATAACTCGAAAACTCAACCTACTTCGAAATATCTTTCCAAAAAAATATCCAAGTGTGTTTACATTCAAGGGTCTCGTCCCTGGAAGAGTTGCAGATACGTAAAAAAAATAGACTCAAGAGAGAAGGTCCTTACAAACAAACGTATTCAAAGTCAAGGAGAGCCTGAGTACCTTTTCTCGTAATTTCAAGTCCACGCGATGTGTAAAAAAAAAAATATTTTGCAACCGAAACGAATTTAAAGACGGCACTGTGAGGGGTCGCGACCGATAGTTTGAGAAACTATTCTCTGGCGTGTTCGAGGAGCGACGACGATGGTCGACGACGGCGACGTCCGCGTCGCGGGGCGTCAGCGCGCGGCCAAGCCGGCTCGGCGCCAAAATCAGCTCGCCAGTCGCGCTTTCCGGTCGGTGTTTTATAAATACTGCAGACACTCGAAGTCTGCAGCGAACACGGGAGTTGCTGTAAAATCACAAATCCCGACGGACATAGTTACGGGCCCGTTGCACGACCGTGGCGAACAGATTCTCGAACCGGGGCTCGAACGTCTCTCGAGCATCGTCCCCCGCGTCCGTCGAAATCGCGATCCGACGGCTACCAGCGTCTCGTAACCGGCTGCTGACATTTCCGTGGATTAATTGTGTCCCGGGTTGGCGAGCAAATTCTTGGAACCCGAGTGGTCCGGGAGTGAGTGAGTGAACGAAAGTTCGAGGCGTCTCTTGGGAATCGTAGCCTGTCCGAGGAAAGTGATAAGCCAAGTGTTACGCGATGCTGTGATAACGGACGATAAAGTGTAGACGTTCCAGGCTGTAGACGACCAACTTAGGGGGAAACCATTCTCCGTTTCTCGATCACGGTACGAACTCGCGTCGCTTTTCGATAATATTTAAATCCATGAAATAAATATTATTGCAATTAAAAGTCTCTCGAGGGGCACCATATTGCTTAAAAATTGAAAATTTTCATTTGGAAATAAAACAAGAAACAAATGGGGGGGGGGGGAGAAAGGAATAAGAGTAAAAATTGAATTGTAATTTATTCTAAGAAAAATGGTCGATCTGTTGGCGATTGACCCGAATAAACGATTGCATATTGTCACAGGAATCTCGAGGAGTTCTACTTGGATTGCACGTTAAAATTGTTAATATAGAGTAGAATTTTGATTAACCGGCGTAACGTGGACAGAAGCCGGCCGGATGAATGGAGGACCATCGGTGATTGGAACCATATTTATGTGAACGGAATGAATTTTTCATGTAGGATGAAATGTAATCAGTTTTTTAAACGCATGCATGTTTTTGTTTTGTCGATTGCGCACTCGACGCAGATTTTAAAACACTCTTGGAAATATTTGTTTCGGTTATGTAACTGTTCTGAGAGAATTAATAACGAATAACAAAGAAGCGAGGAAACTGTGCATATCGGTTTTAGGTACGGTTCTATATTGGTTCGTTAATGGTTCTGTACCAGTTCTATATCGGTTCTATAAGTGTTACTTTTCGTTTCTTGTATCGGTTCTATAACTGTTCTCGTATCGTGTTACTCAGAAAATGAAACTGTTAAAAGTGCGTCGTTGGTTTGTGATTCTAGAGCGACGATTGTCCATTAAATTTGTTCCTCGCGAATGGAGGAAGTAGTTATAAACAAGTAGATAAATTTATTTTCCGAGTAATCGATACGAATACTACAATTTCGTCGTATTATCGATAATTCAAGATCCAATTTTGGATTTATTATCGTAACTATTAATGAACACGCTTTAAATCAAATGAATAGCTCGCACTATATCGATCGGTACTTCGATCTTTTATCGTATCATTATATTTAGACGGCTTTATACGATGCTACGAAATCCAATACCCCTGTACAGAATTAGGTCAGTTTACCAGCTTATATTCTAATTACTTTGTAACGTATTTAGCGTAGAGAGCTGATCTAAATTTGAAATTCTGAAGACTAGGTTACATTAGATAAATTTCACCTACAAAATTTAATTGAAACTATATTTTCGATCCGTGTATCGCCAAACAAATCCAAAACATATTGAATATTCCAAAAAGAAACAAAATTACAAAAATTCTTACCTATACAAATTAGTACAAATTCATTTATATATTGATTTTTCTATGAAATTACATAATAGCGTGTATAAAATTCGCTATGCTTCGCTATAGCGTTCATCGAGTTGCGTAGTAGCGTTCGTCGACGCGCGAATCAAATCGTCTCTGTTGTTTAAAATAATCGAGTTCGCAGCAAATGTTAGAGAAAGGGGACGAATTTCCGGTGAATATACGAACGATATAGTCAGCGTAATTTGGCGGATGAAGAGGTTCGTCTGTGCCGGCTGAGATTTGCGGCGTTTCGTTTTCCAACTTGCGCAACAATTATCGCGGATCGAAAATACTAGCTTAAGCTCTATACAGAGGAATTACATAGACACAATTTATTTAGGGCAATAACACACGTCCACGAATTATTACACGACACGTGCACTCCGTGACAACACCTAGTGACACCATGTTCTCAAACGAATGTCAAATTTACTATTTTTTAACATTTATTATTTCACCTGAGGCCATATTGAATCAAACAAAATGTCTTCTCACATCTTTCACATTCCTTTCACGCAGACCTAATTAGAGACAGTAACTTCTAGACACCCACTTAATATTGGATCAGATTTACCAGTTGGTTTACTTTTGTCAGAATTTGATTATCAGCACCATTCCCCCCAACATATCAAAACCTTTTTTAGTCTCGTGCCCCGATATATTTCCTTAAATAACCAATTAATACCGAATGGAGCAAGTGTCACCTAAAATTTTTCACAATTTTCGCATTCTCCGACGCGGTGGGGTTAGCAGTATTTTTCTGCGACATGCTCAGACCTTTCTCGTCTCATCCCCCCGTGCCCGCCATGAATGTTTCATGCCCCTCGATGCTTCAGCGCCGCGAAACCGCGTTTTCTCCATCGGAAGTAGCTGAACATCAAACGCCAGGGTGATTCTTTTCACCACCCCCGCGACACGATACACGTTCGAAGTATCTTTTTCCTTCGAGTCGAAGTAGCGGCCGGAGCAAGGCATCATTCACAGAACGTTTTTCTCTTTCATTCATGAATGGCCCCAGCCACTTTTCGAGCGCCTACGAGCTTTGTGTAACTCCGTGAAAACGCGTCGTTAGCCAGAGCCGGCACAAAGGGCGCATTATCTAAAACTTACGCTTTCGCTTTGCGGAACCGAGCGCGCGTGATCGCGGTTTAAGTGGCTTTCGACAAACTTTTCCCCCCCTCCATCGTCGACTAGTGCTTTGGCAAACGCATGAATTCTCAACGGGGATCTTGTTGTTGTATAACGGCGCCAACAAATGTTCCCCTAAATTTCTAATTCTGGTCGCGTTCGAACCCAAAGAAATTCATCGAACACGATCGAACGATCCCTTTCCACGCTGTGCAAGAAAAAATGCTAATTAAAAAAGATCTTTGCTTCTCTGCGAGCTAATTAACGTTCGCCTCGAATTTATCGAAGCGAATACTCGAGCTGCAAAGTTCGAATTTCACTTTTTTTAACGCGAAGATTGACAGATAATTAAGCGAACTTGAACCAACGTATACATATATTCAGTAGTTTTCGTCTCGTTCGTTAAACTCTTATTCGCGTAATCTTTTGCAGACGTCTTAATTCTCAATCTCAAGAATGTTATCGTTAATTAGCAGCAGAACTCGCACAACCTCGTCGATCTCGGATTCCCAGAGTTGAAATTAATGTTTCGTTAAATTTCATATTCTAGCAGACCTCCACGAACTTCTTGGTTATTACACTAATGCTTCAACGAAGTACGAGCGTTAATTTTATCTGCAATGTGCATTGAATTTTCTACAATGGTTGAGAAATGAAACGGAATGGGGCGAACGCGTTTCAATTTTCTAGAATCGAACTGTTTTACCTGAAAATTGAATGGAAACGGATGAACCGGGAGATTGAAATAAAAAGCATTGGTATGTCCCGTAAATGATGATTAAGGGGTCGAAGCAACATCTATTACCCTTACTCGCCCTTATAATAGCACTGTGCTGTCGCGGCGTTCAATTTTATCGGAGTAATTCGTTCCAATTTTCTGGAATCGGAATACAGTCGAACCTGGCTTTAACGAGCCTCGGGGGTCCGGCAAAATTTCCTCGACATGACTATTATATGCTAACGACTCGTCAAAATTACCTTCAATTTCAACAAAATTGCAGTTTACGAAAATAAAGAAGAACGAGACTATACTAATGAATAATACACACGATTTTAATCGGTGCTCTAATTTCTGAATCTTAAAATTGAAGCTCTCTTCAAAGATTTCACGTGGATATTTTCAAAAGTTCTCAAGCTTAATTGGTACGTCGGTGTAATACGCTCGTTACACAAATGAGCAATTGTACGGAGCATACGCAAAAATTAACATCATTATAGCTTTTGGTTCGTTACAGCCGTAACCTCGCTGCGTCCTGCTCGTTATGATCACGTTCAACTGCATTCAATTTTCTTTATTTGTCCTTTTGATTTATTTAACGTCCTTGTTACTCGAAACACGAACGCAGACATTTTATAGAACCAGAGTAAAAGACATAAATAACCTACGAAGCATCCTGCACCAAATATTTTATCGAGCCCCTCCGATCGAATTTCGCCCTCAAAAAAAAAAAGAGAAAATGTAGTGAAACAGTAAAAACTGAAAAAGGTCACTGCATCGCAGAATCGCCGTCGAACATATCTAACGGACCATTTATTACCATTACACCCCTTTGTAATACAATTCTGCAGCGGGAAGGTCGAATTCTATGGAGCCAATTCGTTTCAATTTTCCAGAATCGAACCAGACCGGGACGCTGGAGTTTTGGGAAGATTCGATGACCTGATCGCTACGACCACGCGGAACGACATCGAGGTCCATTCACCGCGAAATGACAGAACGTGAGCCCCGCGATCACTGCGTCGACCACACCGAATTGTCGAGCGCGTACACGATTTTTGGCTTCGATTCGAGCCCGTGGCGCACGATCGACGACCGTCCGTCAGAATGAGCCTAATGAAGAAGGCCATCGGCGGCTCCATTCACAGGATACGAGAGTTCGAGCTAGAAAAGGTAACTCGATTGCGTGTCCTACGCCCTCCCCACGACCACCCGCTTTTCCTCGTTACGCGTCCATCGTTCCGTTCCCTCTTCCCACTTTTCTCGAACGAATAAACTTGACGAAGAACTTAGCGAACGTTGATTAAAAATTGTGGTCTTCCTTTTCATTTTATGCTTTCGAGCCTGATCTTAGAACGTGCCCAATTGCACCCGAACAATTGTGCAATTACACGAATTGGGAGCGGTGTACCATTTTATTTTGTGCTTCAAATTCGAGTCTGATCTTAGAACGTGCCCATCGTGACAGAAATCGGGGACGAAGAAATGTTTGAAAGATCGCTGAACTTTGGAGGAACCCAAATATTTGTTTTTCGTTTCGTCGAGACGATCGATGAGCGACGATTCTTTTCTGGGGTCCGCGATCTTTGAATTATTCGCGTACGGACGGACGACACGGTGCAGCCGGGTCTCCAGTCGTCGGGATCCCGAAATAGTGGTCGTGTCTGCAACATTTACATCGAAACCGAGGAACGGGCAATCTCCTTACTCCTTGGCACTAAACCAACTTTCGCTCGATGCTCACTTTATGACGATGCGCGACGCGATTGTAACCTTTAACACTTGGACAAGTTATACGAGGAGCTGTTTGCGGTCTCGCGTGTAATAAAGCAGCGGCTGGGTCCTCGTGTTGCCATTGTTCCAGAGGACGGGCAATAAATCCTGCTCTTTTAGCGCCGACCAGTCTCGGGTCTTACGAAAATTCGGAACACCGTGTCACCGACTGCGAGCTCGAATCGAAAAATTCAGAAAACGAATCCGTTACCACGGGAACGTGGTACGATAAAAAGGATGTAGAACGTCCATTATGCAGCAACGTTTTTATCGTAAAAGTAATCGAAAGGGGATTCGAGAACACACAACATGGCCGACGCCGGTCATCGGACTTGAACCCGATTGAACTTTCGTGGGAGTATCTCGATCGGAATATCCGGCTGCCCGAACATCGAACACCTTTGGCACCGTTCGCGGGAACCATGGAACAATATAAAATTAGAAATAGCCGAGAAACTCACTGCCAGGATGTCCCGAATATGTCAGCCCGAATGTATCATTAATCCTAACCCTACCAGGATGTAATTCGCGTACCAAGTATGAGTAACTGTACATTCTGCGAGTAAATTTACACGGTAACGACGTTTCGCGTATTATTAACGCGTCGACTCAAAGTTCAAGGCGTTTCATGTTCTTAAAAAAGATCCCCTCGAAAGAAAGAAGACCTTTTTACTCTACGCCCAGTTACGAGACTAACAGCGGCATTTTTTGTTAATTAATCCCCAGTAGATTGCGTAGTTACGATTCCAAACTTTTGATCGGCGGTATACACGCGTGGTTAGCTTTGAGCGAAGCTGTATCGACGCGAGGATATATTTCATATCGAGATTGATATCGAAATACCTTGCTGCTATTTCCCGCAGCATGATCGCCTCGTTTATCTGATTTAAACTCTCAAACTTCGTCGTCAGAAATTATCAGCGGAGCAAACCGGGTGTCGGCTGAAGTGGATACAAGGGAAACATTAGTTCGCACGTGGAGGGGCTCTGCAGGTCCCTGGGGAATGTTTTTCTACAGAAAAATTCGTACAAACTTGTGTCCTATTCACTCTGTTCTCGAGTTATAGCGAGTCTTGTGTTGGGAATAATTCTTTCAAAAGATGGAGATAGTTGAACTAATTGCACTCGACTATTTCAGTATTCTATGTCCACGTGTACATTATACGTAAAAATGTCTATATAAAAAAGTCAAAAACGAACCTTGAATATTGGACTATTCTCATAAATAATACCTTGTCGAACAGAGAGGGTAAGGTAGCCAATGGTTTATATTAAAAGAGACCATTTTGAAAATAAATAGGTACAATGTGTTAAAGAAGACACACGTTTCTCGCGTAGACTCGTATAGTGTCCCCATGGACTGGGAATTTGTTATTTTTTAAATATTGTCTCCTTTCCTTTATGTAGTGAAATTCTTATAAATCTGAAAATCCGACGCAGACCGTCCTCCCACTCGATGAGCCTCGCAACAGATTTTACGCGTCGATAATTCACAGTCTCGTCGCGTCTCGGCGATCAAACATCCCCCGCCCACCAACTCCTTCAAACCGCAGAATCAGAGTTCCGAGTGCAGGTTGCGTTCGCAGCACGCCGCGCTAAATTATGCAACGAATCCGCGAATCACGCTCGACTTCTGTATACCCTCTGGCCAGCTGGATAAAATAAACAAAAAAAAAAATTTATCGGCCCTCCGCGAATCGGTGTTTCCGAGAGCCACCCTCGAACAAATCATTCGTGGTTGTCCGTCGATCGCAACGCGTGTCACACGCGACAAATCGATCATTTCTCGCGCATCGAACGCGCCGCGAAATAAAAGGCGCGAATTCACGTCGTGTCTTTAATTCTTGCGTGACCAAAATATTCGACGTTATCGAACGATTTTTGCACGGCGAGAGAAACTTTTTAATATCTATTTAGGGATAGAGATAATATGTTCTTCTCTGCGCCAATGGGTGCGGGCTCAGCTGCAAAAGGATGATGTAATATTATTTCTTGATCACGAAATTGTTTTCTCGCGTTAACATCACGCCATTTACACTGCACTTAATTGCGAAATTTAGACACATCTGCATAAATGAAATGTTATCTCTGTAAATGTACAGTTTTCAAGGGATCTTGACTTGGACAGTTTATGGGTTGTCTATGCCCAATTTTTACAATTTTTATCCGTCTCGAGTTAACTCAATGTTCCAAAAATGATAAATAAAACACAGTTGTATCTGTTTTCTATAGCGTGACCGAATAGTAGAATACTTTTTCACGCCATAATTCGAACAAATGTTGAGAGTAACTCTAGATACGTAGAAATGGCGTGGCAGTTAGCGTGTTAATCAATGTAAACGTGGTCTCCGAAGTTGCTATTGTACCTACTCGTTTCATTTCTCGTCGACTTCATTCAAGAAATACAGCGTGGGAATGGTATGTTTAGTCGAGCTCGTGGGTCGGTTACCTGTCAACAGCTCATTATGATGTCAATTATAGAGCGCCCACCCTAGAAGTAACTTTCTTCTCTAGAACGAGCATACTGTGCACTCGTATACTCTTCTGATTCTTAATAATTATCATTCAAACTGACGAACTTGCAAAATAATTAAAAAAATCAATTCTAATATCCAAAATCCACAAAATTCAACATCTTCTATTCCTCGTAGAAAATTGAATCCAACAAAACGATGACTTAAACCCCGCCTAATCTCGCGCGAACTACGTCAGACTCCAATTTCATCAAAATCCCCTAACAACGGGCGCCACAAATGATCGATTTGGCGTGTAAGGCTCGCGCGGGAGACGGAAACGTATGGCGCGCGTTGAATTAAAAATAGACGACCGCCTTGGATCGCGATCGTCCGGAGCCGGGTTCCGCGATGTTCGCGCGAACGTTTCTTCCTCGAGCGTCGATCACGATCGAGTCGAATCGCGAGGGAAACGTGATCGTTCCGTTGTCGCGACCGTTGCACCGATACCAGATCTCCGATCGACGAGTTGAACCTTGCTTTCTTGGCGAACAGGTGAATCTGATCGACGAGTTCGATATCCTGCAAATAGTCGGCGAAGGATGGTTCGGCAAGATCCTGTTGACCGAGCACCGCAGCACACAGACGGAGATGGTGCTCAAAGCTCTGCCAAAGGCGTACACCGGCATCACGGATTTCTTCCGCGAGTTTCACTATGGTCTTCACCTGGCCGCGCACAAGAACATCATCACCACCTACGACGTGGCCTTCGAGACCGCTGGATTCTACGTCTTCAGCCAGGAGTACGCGCCATTAGGTGAGAAACCCTCCTGGTAGCCGAGTGAACACTCGAGCCAATTTTATTCGTTAACACTTTACCGACTGATCGGTTACTTACTGATTTCTTGTCGTGAAAATAGAAAATTTTATTAGATTTAATTGCTTTATAATAACAGAAAGCGAACCCCTACTGGTCGGTAAAGTGTCAACATCTCGATAAAATCGATAAATATATGGTGATCTAGCCTCTAGCCAGCTTGAGCATAACTTAACTCTCTAACAAAAGATTTACAGCCAAGTATACCGAATACCTAGGTCTAAGTCCATCGTCCAGACTTCATTTAACCGAGCATCGCCAGAAAATACTGCTGAGAAAATATTTAAGGCTGGTCTATAAACATATGCTCGCGGCGGGATCGGCGATATGGGCGAACGTGTCTCTTTTTTAAACTCGCGGAGAATTAATGGCACCGAGAACTTCTTTTTTTTTATCGCTCGACCAGCCGGTTCTGTTTCGTTGAAATTATTTTGGTCGCTTGTCGTTCGACTTCCAGGAGACCTAACGTCCAACGTGACGGAGACTGGCCTCGGCGAGCTGCACGCGAAGAGGGTGGCCAGACAGCTGGCTGCAGCGGTACATCATATCCACAGCCGCGAGCTGGTGCACCGCGACATCAAGCTGGACAACATACTCGTGTTCCGCAGCGACTTCTCGCGGATCAAGCTATGCGACTTCGGCGAGACCAGGCGGGTCAACACCGTGGTCAGGCGACACAACGAGTGGCTGCCATACTCGCCGCCCGAGGTATTGCAGATCGACACTGACGAGACGTACAAGTAATTATACGATTGACCATTACCAGCAATTAACGCGCCCCCCGTCATGAGCGATCGAACATTTGCTAAAATTACATTTCTCCGTCAACTACAGGCTACTTTAATTTTCTATCGAAAGTTTCGCATATGTCACGTGATATAATTTGTAAATGTAACTCTCGAATGAAAAATTTTTCAAATACAGTAATGATCAAACATCTCAGCCCAGGAGTTTAGGAGCAATGAACTCCTGGGGTTGAAACGTTCAAGTTACGAATCACCGAGGTCCATTTTACGAATCATTACTGCAACTATCCCTTTAAAAATGGGTGTTAAACTATTTTTGACCGCGATGAGATTGAAACAAGTCGCGCGTGTCCGCGTTAAGCGATCCGCAGGGGCATTGGCGTAGCGTTTAGAGCGTCGCGAGCTTAGAGTGTTTGGGAACCCCTGCGTTAAGCAACGTAGCCAACAGACAGCGTTTCGTGTAGGGAAAAGCACATTTGGCGGCTTGCGCCCAACAAGGGTATCGCTTAACAAACCACTCGAGCGTGGCTCAAGTGCCTCGCTATATTTCTCCCGGCCGACTGTACGTTGCGTTTCACGTTTTCAGAGCTCTCGCGTCGCACGATGTCTGGCAATTCGGCATTGTCCTATTTGTCTGTCTGACCGGATGCTTGCCGTGGCAGAAGGCGGCGTTGGACGACCCGCGGTACACCAGATATCAAAACTGGCACAACGCGACGCTCAACATAGCCAAGAAGCCGAAATTATTTCAGCTGATCAGCTCGCGGGCGCAGAGGTCAGTTTTCATCGGGCGCCAGCGCAAACTCAATTGCGACACCCCCCACTACTTCGACAGAATTGGGCAAATTTCGTTCGATGAAGATTTCGCATAACATAAAAAAAAAAACATTCAGTTTGCTGAACATGGTAACTCGTGCAAAAGAAATGTTAACTCTTCGGTGTTAGGGGTTGTTCAAACGGTGTTTAATTTTCAAGTGCTCGTGGTAAATAATACATTCAGGTATCAAGTTCAGATTATAAGAGGGTCAGCGATTCGCGATTTCTACCCCTTTGTACGCGTCAAAGGACTCAAAAGAGTGAAGGAAATGATTTTAAATATATATCTTGGAGTTAAGATTACTGGCTTAACGTTTGGTCGACTCTGTCGTTTGATTGCTCGGGAAACAGAGATCCCTCGAACGGGAAACGCGTAAATAGCGTGAAAGAACGAATGGAAGTTGACACTGAAAGCAATTCGTCCGCGGATACGTACAGGGAGTTAATATAAAAAGGGTGGAGCATTTCAGGATCGATTCTCCTCGTCAAAATAATCAAAAGGGTTCGCGGACGGTTATAGACTGCATTGTCGCGGGGTGTGAAACGACGATACGCGGAGATGCTTCCCTTTCAGCTTTGGTTTATTTTCGAAATGAGCCTGAGGACGATTGCGGATGCAAGCTCCCCTCGTTGAATAGTTTATTGTCCCGGTAAGAACGGTGTCGTTAAACGCATCGAGACATTCGCTCTTTAGACATGCAAATTAAAACGGAGGATAATTATTCGGGTCGAGTTTACACGTCGTTCATTGCCACTGAAAAATTGTCTAGCCTTCGTCTTAGAAAATTATCTTCGTCTCCTGTATTCTATGCGTAATTTATCCGACTTTGAACGTACGGTACCATCGTTCAGACTTGCAAATCGTTCGAGACATCTCGGAGAGCGTCAACCACAGAGATCTCGTAAAACGTATTAACACTTCCCGAGCTTGAAACTTTGATTTCGACGTATCTAGAAACTGTTCGTAACCGATTTCCGGGGCATGTCTAACGATCTTCATCAATGTTTCTCAGAATGTTCAAACGGCTGTTGGACCCTAAGGCGGAAAAGAGGCCCGTCAGCGTCTTGGAAGCGAACAAATACCTCGAGGACAGGTGGTTGGCCAAGCTCGGGGCGGAGAAGGCCATGAACGGTAACGCGATCGATCCGAATTAAAGAACTCCTCTCTCCCTCTTATATCCGCTTCATTGATTAAACGTTTGCACAGGTGGCGCCGACGAGAGGGACGAGCTCTGCCCCTCGATGTACAGCTTCCACAGCTCCGTCGAGGAGAAGAATCAGCTTCTTCACACCCTGACCACGTACGGGATCGAGACGACGGTCGACAGAGCGAAGAAGAAGGATCGTATCAGGGAGTGGATTCAGGCGAGCGCGATCGTCGAGGAGTACGAAGAGGAGGAATCCGATCTCAACGAAGAGATCCACTTTTACGAGGACGAGGACGAGGAGCCGTCCACGATGAAGGGCAGACACTTCCCGGAGACCAGACCGATCGTCAAGCAACCCGACGAAACCAAACGACACAAACACCACCGATCGAACAACGTGTCTACGGCTACCAGGAGGAGGCAGTCGGTCAAACCCACCGAGAGGAAGATTCCGTTCGCGCCTCAGGTCGCCGAGGAACGCGAGACCGTCGCTCGATTCGCGAGCTTCCCCAACGGCGATCCCAGCCTGGCGATCTCCAACGGGACCAACGGCAGTTTGATGGTCGGCCCCATCGCGGAGGAGACCAGATCGATCGGTAAAAACGGCCAGACGGTCAATAGTTCACCGGTGAACGGTCTGAACGGTTCTCGAGACGTCGTCGCCGCCGCGTTACCCACGACCAGCGGCTTCAATCCTAATTTACCCGAGGAAACTACCAGGAACTCCGATCCCCAAGATCGAGCCGTCCCGCAGGGGGGCGTAGGGGCAGATCGAAGTTTGCCCAGGAGCCCGCTGATCCCGGCGAGAAAGCATCGCTCGCAGACCGCCCCGTTTCCGGCCCCGACGTCACCCGTCCTGAACGGAAGTCGCGCGGACTCGACCAAGAGGAGCCTGTCGGCCGCGACGCTGCCGACCACGCAGACGGACAGGTCGTTCCCGGTACCGCCGATTCAAGCCAACGGCCAATCGACGCCCGCGAGGGTCGAGAATCGATCCGCGGCGCAATCAATGTCTCGAGTAGAGAATCAATCCGTTGTAATGCTGCCTGCGGCCGCGGCGGTGGCAGCTCGAGTGGAGAATCAATCGAGTAACACGCCGACGGTCGCCCGAAACGAGAAATCAGCTGGTCCAGCCGGTGGTCCGGGCCCACTGGCGCCAATCAATCCGCTCACGATGTCGGTGGCCTCGCATTTGGTCATGCAGAGCTTCAACGCTCTTCAGAATCTCAACCCCGATCAGAATGCCGCGACCAAGAACAGTCCTACGTCCACCCCTGTCAAAGTTACACCGAAGAACAGCCCCACCGTGACCCCTACGAGAACCACCACCACCCCTCCCAGGCCCAGAATCGCCAACCGGAGCGAAGAGACGACGCTTGGATACGGCAAGGATCCTTTCGAGCACTACGGTATCGCACAGGGTGTCGTTATGAAGATCGAACGCGTCCGACGGGGGTCGATGGAGAGTCCCAGCAGGTCTGTCAGCAACTGAGGATCGTCGCGGGGCTGGGGTCGACGTCTAGAAAACGTGAGAACGCGTGTACAACGCTGTTCTCTGAAGCGATACGACGTGGGATGTCTTCTGGTTGGGTGAGGAGTTTGGAAGAGTCGTGGACATCGTCCTGGTATGACGGAATGTCGGGTGGAGGTGGTTAAATGTTGATGACGTTAACAAATATGATGGCTTTGCTCGGTAATACAACTCTAGCAGGACCTGTCGAGCACTTGTGAGAGAGTTAAGAGCATAGCCCTCTAGTGGCGAGCGTGGGAGGTGACGCCACAGGCCTTTGACGAAGACTCTGACTATAATTGAATACCGATAACATATCTCGAAGAAAAATTGCTAGGCAAGGAAAGTACGAACATTATCAACAACTCGAGCCTGCTTATAAATAAATTGATAAACCTCCTGCTACAATACAAGTATGATTTTGTACTGCGTATTGGGACAGTTGAACGATTTGTTCCATATAGAATGCCAAACGAAAATAATTTCGTTTCACGAATCGACGTGCAAAATACACCGTCTCTAAGACAAATTGCACGAGGCTGCATCGCACGGTTTAAAAGAGGAAAGCAGGAAGATCGCTTGCGTCAAAGTAATTCGAAAGATGCAAAGTTGTAAACGATGTTACGTAACCGGACGAAGGATCTATACGAATACGAGCGACGTTCAAGCTCGTTCGACTTTCTACAAAGTTTGTATTAAACGGTATGACACAACTGTACCGTTTAAGATCATCCGATCGTTGGACGCGAGCCACGTCGAGGTCGGCTATAGCGATCCATTTGTTCCTTCGTGCCGATTCTTACATTGTGTAGGTGGTACGTAGAACACGCTCCGCTGAATAATTTATGAATTATAGCTGCTTTTATTGCCGATGACAGGGTGTCGACGAATCGCTCGGAAAAAGGACAGCAAGGTAACGATCACCGAATACGTCGATATTCAACGACCGTCAGTGGCGTAGCCAGACATTCCCCAACGGGGTGCAACCAAAAATTAACACATATATATTGTCACTATCGAATTTTACAGAACTTAAAGATTATAGAGAAAATGGTTATTCAATAAACATTAAAATACGAGTAGACGGGAGTATCTTTTCTTCTTAAATTTAATGCTCTGTTCCCCCAAAATTTGACAAATTTACGACCCACTGTTAAATGAAATGCAAGAATTATTTCTTTTCGATATTTGCTTTTGTCTTATAGAACGTGGTTTAAATTATTTGATTGGTGCAGAGAATCAGTTGCATCCCCAGCCTGGGTGCGTCACTGCCGCCGTTTATAAAAATTTCAACAGTTCGTCGTCTATTTCAGGAACCATTTGCATATCCTGATGGTCGATCAGTCAGCGACAAACGGATAGAATTTGGCACGAACGCGCGGAAAACGTCTACGTCCACGTTTCTCCGCGATGTCTTTGTCGGTCCTCTCGATCGCGAAGGACGATCCTCAATCCCGATTCCTCGGGACTCGAGCGACCCGGCGGACGATTTAATTGACCGATCGCCATAACCGATTATAGCGTTCGTAGGACGGTATTAGCGTAATTGAAATGTAAATATTACATTGCACACCGTGAGAGGTTCCCGTTTCTCCCGAGTAGTTCAAGGTGTGGCCAACGGAATGTGACCGTGGATTAAATTAATTGTGATACCAGAAGATCCCTAGAACCATTTTACGATTCCCGATCTTCTCGCGTCCGATCGTCGAACGTCGCTTTGTATACGTTACGAAGCTGTTGTATACTTGTAATTTTGTACCGTTGTTTGCGTCAGAGTCGGGCAAATTGTATTCACGAATATCGAAGAAAAATCCAAAAAATTGCTCGCAAACATTTCATGTTATTATTCGCGATAAACGCACAGAGCAAACAATGATAACCTTTCGAAAATTTGTGTTTGTTGTTCGTGAACAGAATGTAATCAACGGGAAAATTGAACGTCGGGAAATAATATGAAAGACAGCGTGATCTCGTGCTTGTTTGTTTGCAAATTCATATTTATAGATCGGTCTAAATAAGCTTCAACCATCGAGGAGAACCCCGCCGCGTCGGAAGCGTTATCGAAGCTGGTATAAACTAGTCTATAAATATAAATAATAAAAAAGAGTTCGCGTAAGCATCTAATCTTATATTCGAAATGCAAATAGTTTCTATAAATAAGCAACGACTAATTATCAGTATGAAACAAGCTATTTTTATTAACGTTTTGACTCATGCGTTTTGGGTCGCCTATAGAATAAACGTAATTATGTAACGTGTAAAATATAGGATTAAATTGTAAGTATTTAAGAGAAATATTAGAAATTAGAATAACGATGAGGCTAGGTAAGGTTTATGTAAATTATTGTTTTTATGTTGTATCGTTTGGCATATTTTCACACAAACTGCTGCTACTCTATTGAAACTTTTTAAATAATAGCAACTAAAATAAAAGATTAGAAACGATGCTGTTCTTAAAAAAATATTACAATATCCCTGTAATCTCGTAAGAAGATTTGCTTTGATGAATTTTTCTTTAAAGGACGACTTGCCCCAATTTCCAAAGCCATTTCCTTCCCCACAGATACGTCGTCGATCCGAAGTCCGGTTTATTTAATTAAAACATTCGTCGATCGCGTTTATCGATCATTTCTGTCTTCCCCCGTTCAGGTCATAATCGCCACGCACTAAAAACGACCCTGATCGTCAGCCCGGCTAATAATACTCGACCGATCGACGTCCCCGTGGTCGATACGAACCCCCATAAATACCGGTCGCGGTCGTAAAGTATAATTGTCTCGGCGGCGATAAGCATTTTTTCCATTGGCTTCCAGCGTGTATCTCGTTGCCGCGTAATTAATTACGATTAAAAAGAGAGTAGAGGGAACCGTATATATACGACGGTTGAGGTTGGAAATGCTCGATACTCCCGACGCTAGGGTGTGCGTGTCCGTGGCTCTTCTCGCGCCGCCGTCGACTTCGTCCTCCGGGCGTCGGCGTCGTCGAGGCGACGCAGCCACCGGAGGAGGGTCACGGGGGTACGTGTCTGGCGATATGGAAATAATTACCGGGCGGGGCGAGCCACGAATTAATTAAGAGATACGTAAGTAGCGTATATTGCGCACGAGATGCAATTACGTCGTCTTTGAATCCAACGCGGGCGACCAACGCCCGCGAGACCTAACGAACTGCAGGCCAACCGCTCGCGATAGATCTTTGACACTGTTCTATGGAAACCCACGGCCCCCCCAATGACGTCGATCCTGACAGTCGAGACTCTCAGCATCTTTAACGCCAGCGGTCATCCAGTCACGTAGAATTTTCCCCTTCCAAAAAATAGGGAGAGCAACGTCCAAGGAAAGTGAAAAATTTGGGCCCCAAATCTCTAGATCCAAACTGATGAAATTATCAGTCATATTTTTTTTTTTAATTTTATCTCGTACGAGTTTACTTTTTAAAAATTCTTGTAACAATGTTGTTTTGTAAGTATTTTTACTATAGTTGACGCTACGAACAGCTTTTATGAGAGGAGTTTCTAGGTAGGGTAGACTTTACATTGCGGAACATCGCACTAAAGTTCTTTACGACGTATGAATCTGTAATGAACGTTGACGCGATAGACTTTCCTGCGATAGAATCCTTCCGAGATTTTAACAGTTTCCCGCGACGGACTTCTACAGCAGGAAATTCTCCATCATAAACACCCACAGACCCCCGCTTAAAATCGAAGAAGTTCGCTTTACAATTTTATTCGCGGTGCAATCTCGCATTAGGGGACGTTACGTTACACGTTTATAATACTCGTATAAGATTATACCTGGATGTACAGAGCGGACCGATCGAATGGGAAGCAACGATTCGTGGCTATAAATGTAGCAATAGTGTCGTTCTTTGTGGGGAGGGTTTCGGGAAGCTCCAGTGACGATCCACAAGTGCCAACTTGTCAGCTCCGCGCAGTACACATTGGCATAATCAAATACAGAAACGAACGGAAACGAAGCGAGAAGCTTCCGACGGCGTGGTAGAAAACGAGAAATCGAATATAGGCGGCGAAGACCAGAATAAACAACTCTAAGCTTAGCCGTAATGTAATGCGAGGTTCGAAATTCCAGGAAGGGCACAAAATGTTGCCAAGAATTTTAAGGTTTTCCCGCGACGAAATGACAAGTGTAATTGAAATTAATGGTAAACAAGCTTGCCTGCAATAAGATGTCCCCAGGATGCAATAAAAAGAAGTTGGTGTAGTTAATGGAAGAAAAAGAATATGGTACAAATGATGTGACTGTACTGTAACAAATGGCCTACTGCTTATAGTGTTATACGAACCGTGTATTCTATGATTGCTATGACAGCTACTAGTCCGTAGATTTTTCTAAAATTCCTCAAACGATAATAAATTTATATCGACGACTAACAAGAGTTGGAATTCCTCGTTACTTTCTCGCCAATATGGCGGAAAAGAATCGTCCTTGGGGCGAAACTGGAGCCAATCCAGGGAACGTGGTCCCGGAACGGGGGTTCCCAATTCGGGATTCCGGGGCCGTCACCTTCTGGCAGAGTTAACGCGCGAAAGTGCGGATGAAAATTAATGAAAGCGCAATTGGCGTTAATGGCGTTGGCACGGCTTCCCCTGTCCGAGGGCCGGCAAACTCCGGCATCCTCGTTACGGCACCGCGACGCGACGCGTTTCGGGGGTCCGTCGTATTCGTTCCAAAGCCCGTGATCGGCCCGCGACACGATCCAGATCCGAATTCCCAGCGATCGCGCGTTACGTTTCTATTTACGGACGACGGCCACGTGTAACACGCTACGAATCGCTTCGACGTTAAATCCCGCCACGGCCTTGACGCTCCATGTAATTACTACGATACTACGAACGGCGTCGCGACGCTAGTCCCAAAAGGTGTACCACCGGAGGCTACAAGAAAATTAATTTTATATCTTTGATCGTTGGGATTATTTAAATTTACTCTAAGAAAGATCAATGAAATTGTGGCGACACTTTCAGCTCAACCAGTCTTTCTCGCGAGTGCTCGACCGCCTACCATCCATCGAGTTGCTATATTGCTCAAAAAATCTAGTCAATGTACGACTCTAAGGAAAAGGGAACGTCCACCACTTTCTATCAATGCTATAGCAATGTAAGACTTCCATAAAAAGATCTTGATCCAAGATGCTCAATAGCTGACGCCCCATGGTTTACATCTAATCAAACTCTCCGCGACGACCTTGGCATCCGATTTATTACGGGCAGCGTTCGCGAAAGAATCAACTGCAAATTGGATTCTCTGGCTCCGGATCGACTTTAAACGAGGCCCCAGGAAACAAGACCTTCTCGGTAGAGAACTCGTTACGCTATTCCTGAATCTGTCACGTTAACCTATAGAATTCTGGATCGCTGGTGCATTGTATGAAATAAAAAAAATTTCCAGTTTATCTACAGCGCGTAGAATATATCTGGAACGGTGGAATTAATTACATCTACCGGAGGCCGCTTATCGCAGGAACGCGTGAATAAATTTGTAACGCGAGATCGTGAAAAAAGGAGAAAAAACCAAGACACGAGTTGATAAAATTATAACGCAATATAATAAGAAAAAGGGAGGGATCGTATTACCTCGTGCCACGAACACCTGTAGGAACAAGCGTCCCCCGCCATATTCTCCGCGAGGTGCACGCGTGCTAGCGCGAGCCTCGTTCGTGCTGCTTGTTAATTAACTCGCGATCCGGTAATTGGCCGCGATAATAAGTCGCGGTTCTGGCACGCGGGGTTATTCCTACGGGTCATCTTGCCCGCTATCTGCGATTCTGTTCACCGTCCGCTCCAGGAAACGTTGGCGACGATAAAAAGGCGCGCTCCCCCGGGGTCGAGTCGTTTTATACCCATTTCGGTTGTTGAGCCAGGAAAATTCGTGCTCCGAGATTATCTCGCGCTAATAGCTCGTTTGACTTCAAAAAATTCGCGTTTACGCGCAACGCTGTCTCGTTGGGTCGACCACCGTTTAAAAAGGGTTCGTTGATCCGTAAAAATGAGCAACTCTCTCTTAAAACAAGATTTAATCTTCAAGACGGGTCGTTTGCAAGGCGTCCTACTAGACATTCTACATTCCTGTAACACGATTTATCTGACACAAACTCCTGAAGCTTCATCGTCGGAACAGATGGGAGTTAGCTAAAGTGGATACAAAGGAAAATATTGGTGCCTCGTGGATGGAATGTCCGGCCACCTCTGGGAAAAATTTGAATAGGAGGTTCTAGAGCATCAACACCAATGTGTTGATTGAGGCTTCGTTCAAAAGTTATTAAAAAAAGAAAAGTTTTAAATCGTCCTGGAAAAAATATCTTCGGTTGTGGAGGACAATTACAATCATTTTTGGTGAACAGACATACCCTCGAAATTCTCCGCACTTTCGAGAAAAAAATTCTTTACCGAAAATACAATGTCTGATCCTAAATGAAATTTCAGGCGTAATCTCCTTAAATGTCATGCGTATGTTTAAAAAGTCATAACTCCTGAATGGACTGGACGATTTTAATGTTTAAAAAAGCAATCAACGCGTATTTTAATCAAGAATATGTAGAAGTTCTAAGAATATTGTAAAAGTTGTTCCTCAACACCGTAAAGTTAGAAAAACCCCATAAAAGTGATCCAATACTCTGTATAGTGCTGAAATGAAAGGTGATTTTTTCCAACACTAGTCATGAATCGTTCAAGTGGTTAACTGTACAATTCATTTTCAGAATGCATAAATTTAAATACCGGTCTCAAACGTATCTTCATGAATCTTTCGCGTAAAATTAACTGTAGATTTATTGACAACCTATTTACATCTCGCGTGTGTCCGAAAGTAGGACACACGAATCATAGTGGGGTATGTGACCCTAAACGATCAGCTTCGTCTCGACTATGATGGACGATTCTGAGGAATTCGACCAACGTCGACAGCTTCTAATAAATATTCCTATCGTAATTTTGTACCAAATTATTTAAAACGGTGACAGATATCTCGCGCTCGGATAGCTTTAAAACACCGTGCGTCGTCCGCAATCCCCGCGTTTCTCCGCGAACAATCGCGTTTCATAAAAAAAACGTCCGCGGTAGTCGGGAACGTGGTGTTGCGTGGCAAAAAAAAAAAAAGAGGAGAGAAGAAAAGCCTCGAGACTCCTTGCAGAGGAAAACCCTTGCCATTAACGTCGAAACAGGCATTGCGGAACGCATCAACGACCCCCGCGAGGCGAGTGCCCCGAGGCACGCACCGAATAAGCGAAAATTCCCGGGCAGAAGCGCGAACGACGCCGTTTAAGTCCGCGGTACTCCATATTTATACCATTACG